GGCTGCGCGAATGCCGGCGCGTTGTCGTTCACGTCGGCCACCTCCACGGACACGCTGGCGGTGGCCGACAGAGAAGGCGAGCCCCCGTCCCGCGCGGTCACTACTAGAACATAGGCTGACACGCTCTCGCGGTCCAGGGTGCTGTCCAGCACCAGCGAATAGTAATTCTTGAAAGTGGACACCAGCTTGAAGGGGACATGGAGTGTTAGTGAGCAGGTCACTTGCCCGTTGCCACCGGCGTCACGATCGGTTACACTGATTAGGGCGATGACGGTCCCCAGTGGAGCATCCTCTGGAACAGAGAGTGATAGCGAAGTCACTAGCAACTCCGGAGCATTATCATTGATGTCCAAGACTTCTATCAAGATTGTGCAGTGACCAAACATTGGGGGATTTCCTTTGTCAACTGCTTCTATTTGAAGCTTCCATAATTTAGTTTCTTCAAAATCTATTTTTCCATTTACTTTTATTTCTCCACTGGCTGAATCTATGCGAAAAGAGGCTTCTGTATCAGAGGAGACTTCAGTTGCAAATGAATAAAGAATGTGGCTGTTTGACCCCTCGTCCAAATCCGAGGCGTTAAGTCTAATAACCAGTGTACCGTTTCTTGCATTTTCCTGTAATTTTACACGATGGACTGCTTTGTCAAACACTGGGGCGTTGTCGTTTACATCCAGCACTGTGATGCGTAACTCTACGGTACCTGTCAGCTCAGGTTTGCCCCCATCAGTTGCTTTGAGCACCAAGAGAAGCTCCGGATCGACTTCCCTGTCTAAAGGTTTTTTTAGTACTAGTTCGAGCGGTTTTACCTGCTCGTCATTGGTCGGTACTTCCAGAGAGAAATACTCATTAGGGTTCAGTCGGTAAGTCAGCAGAGCGTTGGCCCCGACATCTGCATCGGAGGCGCCCTCTAGTGAAAAATGAGAGTCAAGAGCCCTAGTTTCGGAAATAAAGAGATTTTTTTGTGTCGCTGGGAACACAGGCGGGTTGTCGTTAACGTCCTTCACCTCCACCTCCACGTGGAAAACTTGCAGCGGCCTGTCCACGATCACCTCCAGGTGGATGCTGCACTCCGCGCTCCGCCCGCACAGCTCCTCGCGGTCGATCCGAGAATTCACAAACAAAATGCCATTCTGCAGATTTACCTCCAGAAGGTCCCCGCGGCCTTTGGACGCCACCCGGAACAGGCGCGGCACCAGCTCCGCCAGCTCCAGCCCCAGGTCCTGGGCGATGCGGCCCACGAAGGTGCCGTGTTTGGTCTCCTCGGGGACCGAGTAGTGGACCTGACCGCTTCCAGCATCCCAGGCTGCGAGGAGCAGAAGCGAGAGCAGCAGACGCCGGGCTCCCTGGCCACCTGGTCCTAAAGCTAACATCACTGCTCGCTTCTGCTTAGTAAATCAACATCTCATGAGTAGAAAGGTGTAGTCCTTTGAGACCTTTCTTTGAGTCTTTGTTCCTGAGATCCCAGCTGATCTTAACAATATGGGTGTGTTTATAGTCTTTAAAGCACCGGATCACTGAAGAGTCTTTCTGGTCCGGAAATCATCGTAATTTTCTTCTGTTATCCTCTCCTTGGAGGACAACGACATCCTGTGGCTCAAAATGGAAGCGCGTTTGCGTTTATACTGTTTCTTTCACTTACATTGTTTCTTTCCTGATTCCTTCATATTTGTCCATTTTTCTTCGTGGACTCTTAATTCTTTCATTATATATTCCTTGTGTGTGACCACTAGCTCTTTAAATGTGGTTTTGTCTTACAAATTAGAATTCCAAGAAGAGTTTTTCTTGGATATAGATATCTGAGAGAATGTACTACTGCACTACTATCATGTGTATGAACACAAAAAGTCCATATTTGGAGGTTACTAGTGATACTGTTTTTTAGACTTTTAAAAACTGATCATTTTGGAATGGCCTCCTATCAAGTTTACCCCATTGGTAACACTCTGTAATTTTCTATTGCTTAATACTTATACTATGTTAAATTATTCTAAACATTACTCCAGTTGTGTAGAGGATAACTCAAGATGCAAGTTCTCTAAGTTAACACCTCAACAAAATGGTGTTTCAAATCAATGTTGATATACAAGCTACTTATCAGTTTATTCAAAGATTTATTTGCTTTGATGTTAACAATTTACCAAGAACTGACTTCTAGAAATACAAAATATATTTATCTTTGTCTCATTTTAAAGCTTTTTTTCCAATTATTATATCTGTTCAGAGTGAACCTTGCAGTTTCCAGCCTGAAGGACATTACATTACATTACATCCATTGCTATTTGTAAAGATAATCTCTTTCTAATAAAAAAAAACCCACTGAATCAAGAATTCAAGTTATATTCTTCTGTTTGTATTCATTCTATTCTAGAATTAGTTTAAAGTGACTAAGGTATAAAGAGTATTCTAAATCTCATTCCTTCATTCTGTTTTATTTTTCTGATATCTCAGATACAAAAAAAATTGAAATTTGCATAAAAACTGCTATCAATTGCAATAGAGTTTATCAGTGTTGTCTTAAAAAAGAAAAAATGTATTAATCATTCCCAAGACTGTTAAGGAACCAACTATCCAATATCTGAAATCCTTCTAGTAAGATGGCAGCCATTGGGAAAATCCCAAATTTCTCTTCTAAAAAAAAAAAAACACTGTAAATGGTTATCCAAGGGAATCTTCAGTTTTATGTAAAAGGGAGCTGCAGTCTTCATTTTGAACACTTTTAAAAATAGTGATTCAATGATTACAAATCTATGCCAAAGATTTATAGTTTTAACTACTTCTAATTCTTTTTTTAATTGTGGAAGCCATAAATTCAAGATCAACATATTTGCCTAAAGAAAAGCAACAAATTTTAGCACATGGGGTTGACTAAATTCACAAAAAGACATTAACTAAGAAATAAACCTCTTCATGTTTGCTGACTGAAATAATCCAGTCCCTTTTGGAATTATGCCACGCTGAAGGTCCATTCCATTTTTGGTTTAAAGGATTGCTTCACTAATTAAGTACATATGCAAGATAGTTTTTAAAGTACCCAAATACCCTGGCTATCATATAGCCAAATAACTATATTATATCACCAATAAAACTGTGGGTTGGTTACTCATCTTGAAATAGGCTATCACAAATGCTATGCCACCAAGAGCTAAAGAGTACTCATAATTAGCCTCACTTTAATGTCATCTAATAAAGCGCATGTTAAACATGATTATAAAAATAAGATGTTACAGCTTTTTAAAAAAGGGACAAATTCCTTTTTTGGCAAGAATACTAAAAGAAATCCTTGATTTGGGAAATTTTTCTAGTTGGTCATTCTGAAATTTTGGTCATTCTGAATTGAATTGAAGAAACTACCTACAAAGTTTTTAAAAATATTTATCTTAATGACAGAGCCAGAGGAAGAAACTGTTAGACTAAGATTAGTAAAATTTGTCTTTGCTCTCTCTCAAGTTCTCATTCTGAACTCTCATTTCCTCTCTTTCTGTACTTCCTCCTCCATAGACTTTAGGATTATTATGCTGCTGGATAAAACGCTAACTTGTTATGTTAATATTTTTGTGAATATTTATATTTTTAAAGGAAACATATCCAAAGGAGGCAAAGTTAAACAAATAGGCCTAAATTGGTAAACATATAATTCTATGTTTCATTAGTATCTCAGATGAAGAGATATCTTGAGACAAGACTTTTCTGCAGAGGGGCACACTGACATTATTATAAAGGGCTGAAAGAGAGTGGATATAAGAAGACGGAATTTTATACACAAGTTGAAATACTCTGCATTAACTTATCATCTATAATCTCTAAAAGTTGGAGACTGGCCATGGAAAATATTACCATTGAAGGCAATGCCATGCTTAAATTCCTACCACAATTGTCTTTTTTGGTGTTCCTAAACTTGAATGGAAATTTCAAGTTTTATTGCAAGCTATTTATGAAGCACATACAGAGTAAAATTCAGTCTGCACACAGAAAGGAAAAAAGTAATTGCTAAGAACCAGAGTCTAGATGATAAACTAGTTGCATTGCTATCTGGTAACAACAGAATTAATATAAAAAAATGAAATCATAGGTATCAGGTAACAACCAGTTTCAGAAAGGCATAATTAATAGGGTAGCGTTGGCACCATGCAATTTAACCGACTTGCATTTCTGAGTCTAGATCATCCAACACAAATCTGTGTAAGATGACTACAGAAGTTATTAAACTAAATTGCACTAAATGATATCAGATCAATAGAAAACATTCTAAGAGGATAATTCAATTTTCTCTTCAAACTTCTAATATTAATTTGGACTAGAGTAATCATTTTCAATCTCCTTGAAGGTGATGTTCAAATGCTTTCCATTATTAAACATAATCATGACTCCTTCCTCACAGCGGAAGAGCTAATACTTGAATACCATAAGCAATGCCTCATGCTGATAAAGGAGTAAATAGTGAAGAGCTGCTGGATAAAATATGTAAATAACTATGGAACTTTTTCTGTGGCTAAAAAAAGTGATTAATACACACAGGCACAGGTACCACAATGACTGAAATAAAATAAAAAACATTTTAAAAGCTCAGAACACTTAATTTAATTCCATAAATTAGGACATTTTTATGACTGAACTTCCAGTGTACACAATGTACTATTAAGAATAAAAGTGTAAACCCTGAATATTGAATATGTAGCATGCATTATAAGTTACATTACACTACACAGATTCTTTCCTTACAGAGCAAAAAGTACATTTTCACCATGAAGAGAATTGACCGGGGCAGTCTTTTTGTTAATTTAATAGGGTCAGCTCAAAATTTAGATTTGAAAATTAAATAAACATAAATTAAACTACTAGTATTACAAATATTTGTGACATAAGATAGTGGTTTATGAAAAAAATCAAAACCTACATCATATATTCATAATGGAAAATTAAAATGAATTCAGAATAAATGGCATATTTTAAAAATTGAAGTATCAAGCAAAAGTCGATGCACAGGGTAATATAGACAAAATATAAAATGAGCTTTTAGAATAAACCATATTACCATAGGTATTACTAGAAATATGTGAGGTACTATAGACATACGCTGTATAGATAATAGGATGAAGATATTTCGAGACATGTATTTGAGGGAAAAAAATGGTGAAATAAAATATTCACAAAGCATAAATGAAAATAAAAAATAACCCACCTTCCTAGATTGGTCCCCTCCAATTGACTGTTCTTCCACTTTCGCATCGAGTACTGAACACGGTGGAAGGCTGGGACTGAAGGCCATGAGGTCGGTCTTGGGCGGCCCCTCCCCAGAACACACCTTCTGCCGCCTCTGCTGTGAGTAAGACCAACTCTCCATCGCGCTGGAGCACACAAGCCTGGGCTTCCCGGGTACGCATGCGCCCTCAGTCGGCGGCGCCGAGCACCGCAGCGCCGTGTACAGCAGCAGCGTGAGCACCAACAGGCTGGACACCGCACAGATGGCGACGATCAGATACACGTTGACATCCACCAGAGTCACCTCTGGGTCGGTGGTGCCCTTCGACGCCCGCGACGAGGCCTTAGGCACCTGGCCGCTCTCTACCAGGGACAGTAGCACGGTGGCCGTGGCCGTCAGCGCCGGCTCGCCATGGTCCTTCACCAGCACCAGCAGGCGCTGGCGCGGCAAGTCCGCCTCGTCCAGGGCGCGAGTCGTGCTGATCTCGCCCGTGTACAGCCCCACGCGGAAAGGGCTCCGCACGCCACCCGCCGCCGGCAGCAGCTCATAAGACAGCCACGCGTTGTAGCCCGAGTCCGCGTCCACCGCGCGCACCTTCGCCACCACGTGGCCCGCGCCCACCGACCGCGCCACCAGCTCGCTCACCGCGCCGCCCCCGCCGCCCGCCCCAGGCGGCAGCAGCGCGGGCGCGTTGTCGTTCTCGTCCAGCACGAACACCTGCAGCGTCACGTTGCTGCCCAGAGGCGGCACGCCCGCGTCGCGCGCGCTCACCTGGAACTGCAGCGGCTCCAGCTCCTCGTGGTCCAGCGGCTGCAGCGCGTACACCTTGCCGCTCTCCGCGTGCACCGACACGTAGCTCGACAGCGCGCGCTCGCCCACCCGCCGCTCCACCAGCGAGTAGGACACCCGCGCGTTCTCCTGCGCGTCCGCGTCCCGCGCAGACACCGTGAAGATGTGGCAGCCGGGCGGGTTGTTCTCCTTCACGAACACCATGTACTCGGGCTGCGCGAACGCCGGCGCGTTGTCGTTCACGTCGGCCACCTCCACGGACACGCTGGCGGTGGCCGACAGAGAAGGCGAGCCCCCGTCCCGCGCTATCACCTCCACCTCGTAGTTCGCCACGCTCTCGCGGTCCAAGGCGCTGTCCAGCAACAGCGAATAGTAATTCTTGAAGGTGGACACGAGCTTGAAGGGGACATGGGGTGTTAGTGAGCAGGTCACCTGGCCGTTGGTGCCAGAGTCACGGTCGGACACGCTGATTAAGGCGATGACGGTGCCCACCTGAGCATCCTCTCGCACCGGGAGAGTCAAAGAAGTGACAGCCACCTCAGGCGAATTATCATTTTCATCCAGGATTTCCACTAGGACGGTGCAGTGACCAACCATCGGTGGGATTCCTTTATCTGTAACATCTACATGAATTTCGTAAGTGTTACTATCCTCAAAGTCAATAGCATCATTTACTCTTATTTCTCCTGTCCTTTCATTCATTAGAAATTTCCTTCTTATGCTAGGTGAGACCAAAGAGCTAAATGAATACATCATTTCTTTGTTTAACCCTTCATCCGCATCAGAAGCATTTAGCCATATTACTAACGTTTGGTTCGCTGAATTTTCATACATCTTGACTTCATAAAGGGATCGGTCAAATATAGGGGCATTATCATTGGCATCCAATACCAGGATCAGCAGAGAAACAGATCCCATAAGTTCAGGTTTGCCTCCATCCGTTGCCGTTAATAACAACTGAAGCTGAGGATTTTCTTCACGATCCAGCAGTTTTCGTAGAACAAGCACTGGGAATTTGCCTTTGTCTTTTTTGTTTATAACATCAAGAACGAAAAACTCATTTGGACTGAGTCTGTAAGTAAGCATTGCGTTCTCTCCAACATCCGCGTCAGATGCGCCTTCTAGCGGAAACCGAGAGTCAAGCAGTCGAGATTCGGGTATTGAGAGCTTTTGTTCTGAGACGGAGAAGACCGGTGGGTTGTCGTTAACGTCTTTCACCTCCACCTCCACATGGAAAACCTGCAGCGGCCTGTCCACGATCACCTCCAGGTGGAAACTACACTCTGGGCTCCGCCCGCACAGCTCTTCCCGGTCGATCCGAGAATTCACAAACAGAATGCCATTCTGCAGATTTACCTCCAGAAGGTCCCCGCGGCCTTTGGACGCCACCCGGAACAGGCGCGGCACCAGCTCCGCCAGCTCCAGCCCCAGGTCCTGCGCGATGCGGCCCACGAAGGTGCCGTGTTTGGCCTCCTCGGAGACGGAGTAGTGGACCTGGCCGCTCCCGACCTTCCAGACTGCGAGGAGCAGAGGCGAGAGAAGCAAGCGCCAGGCTCTCAGGCCGCTGGGTCTGTAGACCAACATCACACCTTTCTCTTGTTTTACAAATCGATGAATCAGCGGCCTAAAAGACACACACGCTCCGAATTTTCCTATTCGATTTCTTACATCCGATTTGATCGAAATGGCTGAGATCTCAGAATGTAGCTCCTTCCCAGTCCTTGAGAAACACAGGATTATGCCTTTGTTCTGCAAAGCCATTTTGCGGAAGACAGCGACATCCGGTGGCTTAATGTGTAAGTACAACTCCATGAATTTGAAAACTTTTCCTTCATTCATATCTTTTAATTCTATTTTTACGTATTTGTATCCCTCTGGACTTTATGTCTCTTTTGTATGTAATAATAATCATCGTCCATCTCTAGTGCAGCGTTTGTGAATGTAGAATCTCAGACAAGTAATTCCTTCCCTAATCATGATTATCATTAGCTAAATTTGAAAATACCCTTAATATTTGTATAATTGAGTGTACTAGAATTTTGCTGGTAACAAATTTAGGTCTTTTCAAGTTATGACACTTAATTCACTTCTATTCATCATTATTTTGAAGTTAAATAAATCTTTTTTAGACACTAATCTCAAGCATCAATTCTCCATGAGGTATTTGCAACTCCTAAATTCCAGTCATCACTAAAATGTAGAGAGAAGATCACTGGCTTCAGCATCAGAAATGTCTCCATTCCGATTCCTATCCTCCAACTTACTAGTTGTGTGACTTGGGGAAAAATAGTTTAACCTCTCTCTGTCTCAGTTTCCACTTCCATAATAATAATAATATGGTGGTTGTGTGAATTATGACATATTAAGTGCCTAGGATAGTACCTTAAGGAGAGTGAGTGCTTCATAAGTGGCAATTATTCTCAGGCCTCGATTTAGCCACATTTATTTTCACAATGCTCAAGACCAAAATTGGCTTCTTGGGAAAAATTATTACCTATAGAATATTGTTCACTCCATAATGCCTTTACTATTGCTACTGCACAGGCTAAGTGGTGGTTCCTGTCTTTAAGAGAAGAGAAAAATGGTTTTATTGAGAAATAAGTTATACAGGGAGAAGTTTCACTTTTTGATACACATCTTATATGGGCAAAAAGAACTTTAATTATGATTCTAAATAAAATAATTCAAAAATTTGTGATTTCCACTTTCAGAGACAACGGCTTTCATCTTTGTTATATTTAACCTTTTCAAATACCCCAAATATACAGCTTGGGGATTATCTAATAGTTTTATTAGTGTCAATAAAGTTTTTAATCACCACCTGCAGTAAAAATACTTTTTCTCTCTCTCAAAGTTCTTGGTACCATATATTCAGTAACTGAAATTCCCCATTAATAGATCTATGCTACTGAAAAAACTTGAGGTTTTTCTTTTTCCAAAAAAAGGAAAACTTAATAATAGGACCTTTGGTCTTATCCAAAGGTTAACTTCCTAACTTTAACGATGCTGTGATTTATAAAAGAGATATTTTTAAAAGAGATCAAGAATTTTGAACTCTTTTAGTTGTTATTAAGAGCTGAAAAATAGAGCAACACTTACGAATAGGAAAACTGACAAGAATTGGAGTCACTTGATTCATGGGCTTACGTGTGCTACTAAATTCTGTTTGTATAATTCTCCACTCCTTTAGAATAACTCTAGTGTCAAAGTCCATTCAAATTCTGATTTTAAGCTTTACTTTTCTTATAAAGCATGAATGAAAATGTAATGAGTTATCTCTCCATCCACATACCAATGTTCAGTTTGAGCTACTATCCGGAGTCTACAAATAAGATTATTATTGATTAATCATCTCAACACAAGGTAATGATATAAACTAAACTCCACTCCTGATAATTTTGCATTTTATACCAAGTAATAACATAAATGTCCCAGTATAAATCTCCAATAATGAATAAAAAGTAGGGGGTAGTTAAATTACATCCTGTCAAATAATAGTAACTTGCTTTGACAAGCATCTCATGGGGCTATTGGATCTAAAACTTTAGTTGGATAAGAACCATCTGGAGTCCTTGTTAAAATGCAAATTTGCCAGTACTACTTTTCAGAAATTCTGAGGTGGCATCTGGGAACCAGAATGCTCAATAAGGACGCCAGGTTTTGCTAACGCAGTTAGCATTATCAGTCTAAGGATAGGCTGCCCATAGACCCCAATTTGCCTGGGATATGCTCCATCTACATCTGTGGTCTTGTGTGCTTATTTATAGTGCCTCTTTCACTCTCAAAAGTGTCTGAGATTGGGTCATAACCTAGATAGTTAGTCCTATCTAGTGACTACAACTTAGGGACTGGCATAGGGGAGCTTCATTATTGGTTTCATGATTCTGGCTTGAATTGAGGAATGTTACCTACAGAAGCACAGAGGGAGAGCTATTAGGCAAAATACTAAAGCATCTTCCATGCTGTCATCTCTCTATTTGAGCTTCCCAGCTCTTTTGAATCCTAACCTCCCTGGATCCCAGTGTGCTCACGCTTCCTGATGACCCAAAAAATAAACTCATTACTAAGATGGTCACTGATATTCTGAAAATTGGCATATGATGACAGCCCATATTCTGGAACAGAATAAAGATTAATATAAAGGACTATATTACCAATACAGCCATCTATAATAAAAAATAAAATTTATAATTATAGAAGACATACTAAGTAATAAAGAATACTAGCTCTGAGACACTAGAGGAGTGGTGGGTTTTTTTTTTTTTTGGAGGGGGAGGCAAATGACACATCTAGCACATCTCTATCATATGATGTAATCAAATACCTGGGCCCAAGTTCAAGTGGCATATGAAACCTGAAAAAAAGTGCAAGGACAGAGACATCTGAAGATTTAAGTCTGGATTTAAGGTGAGTTGTGCTGACAGACATAGGTTTTACCACAGGAGCTCAGAGAATACTCAAATTTTGAAAGAAGTAAAGTGACAAAAAAATAGATTGCTTTCTAGCATAACCAAACATGTGTTGTATGTGGGGAAAGAGAGAAATTACTGAAATGTTTTATTTTAAGTGAATTTTACTTGCATTTTCATGATTATATTGTGACTCTATTCTCAAGACCACTTGAATTTTGCTCCACTGAGTTTTTAATTAAGGAATACCTTGTAAAATACCTACACAATAAAAAATAAAATACCTGAATAGAAATATAAACCACATAACAAAACAACATAAGTACAGAGAAAGTTTTTAAAATTAAAATTAGAAAATAAAATGAAAGCTTGGACTAAAGATAGAGTGTGGAGAACCACCAATTTGAAAGTCTCAGGGCCGGCCCGTGGCTTAGCGGTTAAGTGCGTGCGCTCTGCTGCTGGCGGCTCAGAGTTCGGATCCCGGGCGCACACCGACGCACCGATTCTCCGGCCATGCTGAGGCCGCGTCACACATACAGCAACTAGAAGGATGTGCAACTATGACATACAACTACCTACTGGGGCTTTGGGGGAAAAAAAATAAATAAATAAAATTATTTTAAAAAAAAAGAAAGAAAGTCTCAAACCACAATCCAGGAAATATAAGTTTAATATGTAGTGACTTTAAAGATACACAACCTCATCTCCAGATTACTGTCTTTTGGAATATTGAGAGAAACAGTAAATCCTCATCTAAACTGGTAGGGGTAATTTTTTAAGTTTCAGACTATGAATTTCAAGAGAAATAAAAATGTAAAATATACATATATCTTTAATGCCCAAGCATTATATCTCTAACAGAAAATTTCAATAAAAAGGAGAAAGTCTTCTTGAAGAAACAAAGTACCCGACGGGAAGTATTTTCTCAAATATCAGATAAAATGTGAATTTCAATAAATTTTCTAAGTGTAGAAAAGATTCTCAATCAATATTTTCTTATGATCTACATTGTCAGACATTTAGAAACAGATTTTACACAAGGTGGACAGAGAGTTATACTTCTAACATTTATTGTCAGAATTAGATTCCTAAAGTAAAGCAACTGTACTGTGGGTATACAGGAAGTTACTCGTTGAAGTTATAGACACTGAGTAGAGCTGACCAACTATGTCTCTAGACAGTCTCCATCCAGAGAAAGACATAAAACTACAAAGTTAGCAAGGTAACAGTTTCTACATATTTCTGCTATGGGGATCTAAGAGATAACAGAATTACACTAAAATACCATGCATACTTCATAAATGAATAAATGATAGAGTGATGTTGAACTTTTCTTAATGTGTAACAACTAGAGGGGTTTTCACCAAATAGTTTTCAGGTACAGTGGAAGCACTGCTTTAGGAATTCACTATGACTCGCATAACAGGTTTAAAATAAAATTGACTCAGCACCCAGCTAATATCTGTTCAACGTACGGTTTATAACTATTCTCAACTGGAAGTCGAAACACAAACCTCAGTTATAAAGTTAAGGTATTCACCTTCCAGAAATAAATAAGAAAATTCTGGCAGATCTCTATAATAAGTGGATAAAAACTATTTAAAAACTATTAAACTGAGGAAATAAGAATATTTTTCAAGATTAAATAAATAAATACATGAATAAATAAAACGTTAGAGCAACCTACCTTCCCAGAGGAGTCCAAAGAAGCTTGCTGATCTCCCGTCGCATCTACAGACCCAAGACAGGGAGAAAGGCTGGGACTGAAGGCCATGAGGTCGGTCTTGGGCGGTCCCTCCCCAGAACACACCCTAGGCCGCCTTTGCTGTGAATACGACCAGCTCCCCACCGCGCTAGAGCACACCAGCGTGGGCTTCCCTGGCCCGCACGCACCCTCGGTGGGCAGCGCCGAGCACCGCAGCGCCGTGTACAGCAGCAGCGTGAGCACCAACAGGCTGGACACAGCGCAGATGGCGATAATCAGGTACACGTTGACATCCAGCAGCACCGTCTCCGCGCCCGCCGCGCCCTCCGACGCCCGCAACCAGGCCTTTGGCTCCTGGTGGCTCTCCACCAGCGACAGCAGCACAGTGGCCGTGGCCATCAGCGCGGGCTCGCCATGGTCCTTCACCAGCACCAGCAGGCGCTGGCGCGGCAAGTCCGCCTCGTCCAGGGCGCGAGTCGTGC